TGGTGGGCGCCCTCCGGCCTCGACCGGTTGGGTGAGTGGATAGAGGAGAGACAAAAGAAGAAAAGCAACAAGACACAACAAACAGTCAAACACTGGTCAGGTTGATGTGGCCGGCTACCTACAGAAAAGTACAGGGAGAAAGAGAGGACACACTACGGGAGAGAGGAGACACAAAGTTAGTGATGTGTAATGGTGGCATATAGGAGCATAGAGAGAGAGGAAAGGAGAGGCACTGAACTCAGTGGAGAGCTGGAGGTTGAGTGAGGTCTGAACCTTGAGCTGATTTCTCAGCTCCTCCATCTTTTTCTGATAAAACATGTCCTTATCATCATTTCTGCATGATCATAATCTCCTCCGCCATCTTTTGACGAAGGGTTTCCTGTTCAGCCCTCAAGGTGTTAATTAATTCCTGGTCCTGCACTGCCCTGTTTGCGTGAGCGAGCTTCTCAGTCTCAAGTTCACTTTGAAGGGTGTCTTTATCAGTTCTCAAATTGTTAATCAGTTCAAGATCATGCTCCACCCTGTCTGCGCGAGTGAGCTTTTCACTCACAAGCTCATGTTGAAGGGCGTCTTTATCAGTCCTCAGGGTGTCGATCACTTGGAGATCTTGCTCCTCCCTCTTTATGTGAGCGAGCTTTACAGTCTCAAGCTCACGTTGAAGGGCGTCCTTATCAGTCCTCAGGGTGTCGATCATCTGGGGATCTTGCTCCTCCCTGTCTGTGTGATACTTATTTTAGGTTAGGTTTTTTTTAGGTTTAAGAATTTATTTCGAGCAATAGTGACATATAACAAAACAATAATACAGTCAATCCCTACAAGGTATAGTCCCTTACATTAACAACATACCTCAATCAATTGCTCGAAACGGAGTGGGAAGAAGTCAAGCTTATTTAAGCTAACCCTGGTCAGTTACAATAAAACAAAAACATAGTGGCTACTTCCTTATTAATTAATACTAACCAAACATCCAATTTCTATATATATACATAAATATATACACAAGTGCAAGGAAAAGAAAACAAAAGGACCAACAAACAACATACAAAACAAATAAACAAAACGCCATATAACACCACTGGTAAGAGTAGCAGTCCTCCCAACGATGATAATCCGGACACCTACAAGGTAAATGATACAACCTACAAATACATCTTCAAAGAATTAAACCCCGTCCTCTCTGTACTGTGACAGAACCTTCTGTTTATAGAGTGCTTTAAATTGGTAAATATTTTGACATTGTTTATATTCAAGTCCCAAACCATTCCATAGTTTAACCCCACATACAGACACACAGAAACTCCTCCTAGTAGTTCTGACCATTGGTATTAAATTTTGAATATTAGCAGGAAATAGATTGTGAAATGCTTTAAATAGAAATTGTACCATGTTGATTTTAACAAGATCCTGAATTTTTAATAACTTTGATTTGAAAAAAAGTGGATTTTTATGCTCAAAATATTCAACCTTATGTATGATCCGCATAGCCCTTTTTGTAAAATTACTAGTGACTGTATTGAATTATTGTAGTTATTTCCCCATACTTCATAAAGATAATTTATTACTATCTATTTTTTAAATTTTCCTTAATTCAGTATTTACAGCATTAATGAGCATATCATAGTGATCACAATAGAAAATATTGGTGTCATCTGCAAACAAAACACACTTAAGTAACTGTGAAACATTAAATATGTCATTAATATATAGATTGAATAGTTTGGGGCCCAATACTGACCCCTGCGGGACACCACTATCTCCCAGGACCTGAAGTGGACGTCCAACATCAGGACCATCACCAGGAAGGGACAGCAGAGGATGTACTTCCTGCGCCAACTCAGGACGTTTGACCTGCCCCAGGAGCCGCTGATACAGTTCTACAGAGGAATCATCGAGTCTGTTCTCTGCACCTCCATCACTGTTTGGTTTGGCTCAGCAACCAAACAGGACAAGTACAGATTTCAGCGGACAGTCAGGACTGCATAAAAGATCATTGGTACAAGCCTGCCCTCCGTGGAGGACCTGTACACCTCAAAAGGAGGGCAGAGAAGATTTCTGCAGACCCCTCACACCCGGGACACAACCTGTTTGAACTCCTCCCCTCTGGACAGCGTAACAGGTCACTGTACGCCAAGACAACCAGGCACAGGGACAATTTTTTCCCCCAGGTCACTCTGATTTAACAGTTAACCCACGACAGTATGAATGAACAATAATACCGGTAAATATACACTGTACATATAAATCCGTTGAA